TGGGGAGGCTGGGGAGGACTGGGGAGGCTGGGGAGGACTGGGGAGTCTGTAGGGGGCTGTGGGGCTGTGGAGTCTGGGGATCTGTGGAGGCTGTGGGGAGTTGTGGAGGCTGGGGAGGACTGTGTGAGGCTGAGTGGTCTGTGGGGTGCTATGGAGGCTGGAGGGCTATGGGGGACTGTGGAGGCTGGGAGGGCTGTGGAGTCTCGAGGGGGCTGTGGAGGCTGGGGAGGACAGTGTCAAGAGCCCTCCATGTCCACCCTCAGCCTCTCTTGAGTCCCTGCTGCAGGACTATGCCCTGGTGGCCATGTGGACCTGAACCCTGGACCTGGCCTCCCAAGGCCCCTCCTGCTGGGATGGGTCCCTGGGCCTCAGGGCTCCTTCTGGAAACCTGACCTTGAGCCTCAGTTGATGGATTTCAGGACGAGTGGTCATCCATGGGGTGGGGATGGAACCCCTGGGGAGCAGGTGGGAGAGCTGACCCTGCCAGCAGAGGGCACCACGGAGGCCTGCTTCCTAGCACTCTCAGGCCAATGGGGTGTACAGGGCTTCAGGACACGCTCCCACCATTCCTGGGTGGTCTCCCTCCTCAGAAGATTCCTAAATGCTGTGTGGGCTGCAGGGGTCAAGCCCCACCTGTCCAGGTCTCCTGTTCCCAGTGCCGCCTGTCATAGGAGAGGGTGACCCCAGCCACTGATGAGGGCTGAGGGCCCCATCTTGTCTCCTTGGTCTGGGCCTCTGGAGCTGACTTGGAGGCTGACCTGCTCTGCTCCCTGGGAGTGGGGTGTTCAGGGGACCCTGGTTTTGGGGGATCACATGTGGGCATCTCCCCTCTGCAGGGAGAAGCTGGTCCTCCAGGCCTACCTGGGCCTCCGGTAAGTGTCCCTGGCTATGGAGGGAAACAGCCTCCCTCCAGCCTGGAGGAATGGGGAACACAGAGAACAGAGGGGTCATTGATGCCAGTCCCACCACCCGGCCCCAGGTCGCCTAAGGGGAGGCCTCAGAGGGCTCAGAGCAGGGTGGAGCCAGGAAGGAGCAGGCGGGACCTGTGGATTCAGCGACTCTGGGCAAGGTCTGGCCTTGGGCCAATCCCAGGCAGGCCAGGAGAGGGGCCAATGCAGCTCTGCCAGCCCATGGGGTTGGGGGTTGCATGGCACCCTCATAGTCCCGTCTCAGTAAGCTCTGCGGGCCAAGGATCACAGGCTCAGAGCCCCGTGGCCTTTAGCTGGGGAGGTCCAGGTGACCGGGTGGATATCCCACAGATGTGATGGAGGGATGAGGTGGGCTGCCCTCCTGGGGCCTGCGGGGGCATGGGCAGTGGTGCTCAAACTGGATCAGGGTCTGAGGCCTCGAGAGGGGAGAACCCATCCCACGTGGCTGGTGCCTGGGTGGAAAACACTTTTGCCCTTCAATGAAGGCCAAGACTCAGCCAGACCCCCCCCCACCGACACACACACACACACACACACACACACACACACACACACACACACACACA